ATTTCTCTAGTTTACTTTAAGCATTAGATTGCTTTCCGTTCTGTTAAGGGCTTTTCACTACAACTTCATCTCCACAAATATATAACAGAGGCTCAGACAATCCACTCCCGCTAATCCTTCCACCATTCAGGGCAGCTGCACTAAATACCAGGAACACAGAAGCTCTGGAATACTTTGCAAGTGATGGTATGTTCAGACTTTTACTTGTTATAGTCCATCCCATACGGAGACAGTCTCAGTGATTATTACTAGCTGTAAAGGGCGTTGCAGAGGCCAGTGATTAATTCCTTACTTCCTGGTTTGCAGAGCTTTGACTGTAACTCAGCTCAGTGTTATGGAAAAGCAGCTGGCAAGAGTATCTCCGCATTAATTAAATTTTAGAGTACCTAATTGTAGCTGAGGACAAGCATATGCTGTCAGTGTTGTTCCCATGAACACAGCCTTTCCTTTCTACCAGTGAGCACTGCTTCATCTTGTGAACTTACTGTGACTTTAGTCCAGATGTTTCTCTGCCAAGAGACAGAGAAAAGAGTGAAATTGCAATATCCAAATTTAATCAAAAGAAAAGATAAAGAATTGGAATCAGCATACTGAAGACACCTTAGCTAAGAACTTGTAGTTCTTCTAATTCTGGTAGAACAGAAGCGACTAAAGAGAAGCCTGTGGAATTTCATATGTCAGAGCTCTTGGCAAGGATGGGAAATCTGTGAAAAGAAACTGCAGAACCTCTGCTGGGTTACGTGTGCTGCAGTGCTTTGTGAGATCACTCACAATCGAAGGCTGCTAGTCTGTTAAAAATGAGCATGAATGGCTTGCTCTGGGCTAAAGATGAAAGTAATAATCCATGCACATCTTTAGTCTGCTTTTTCGAATATGCCTAAAAGCAGAGATAGAGGAGATATGTCCTTTTGAAATATTCCTAGAAATACGCCTTTAGTGTTTTACATCTATTGCTTTTATGCTGCCATCTCAAAGTGGTCTCTGTGTACAGTACTGCAAAGGTTTGACAGTTCTTAAATTTTGGTCATGTGCTTTCACTACTGTTTTTTAAACTTAAGAAATTTGATTCGAGACCTTTACCTTCAAAGTGTCCCAGTTCTTAACCTGCTTTGCTATCTGGCCACTTGTGTCATTTATTTGACCTATTGGTATAAGGAATCGTACTGTTACTGGATTGATTTCTTGTCTTGCACTGTTTTTAATCTCCCCCCCCTCCCCTCCCCCAAAGCTCTTGTGAGATAGAAGGAGAAGGTAGGGTAATGAGACATGAATTCAGGGATGTCTAAATGTCTTAATGAAGTCTGGCACTCAAAAAATAGATTAGCTGGGAAATCTTCTGTATTGGAAGTCCTGTAAGTAATTTTTGTTAAATACTAGCTTACATAAGATATCCATCATCAGTATCCATTTTAATTGGCTGATGCCAATTGTTTGGCAGTGTATGGGATAAATCAGATGACTTGGTCTTGCACCTAACAGATTGATCCTCCCACCGCTACTAGAGCTTCTCTGTTGTCACCAGCGGCAGAGAGAAGCGAACAAGCCGAGCTGCCCAGTTACCCGTAGGACCAGCCTTGTGCCGGTTGCTGTCAGAGTGTGCACTGCCTGCTCTGTGCTTGGTCTGTGCAGAGAGAGCTGCCATTTTTCCGGAGCACTTCAACTCACATTTCTTAGCAACGTGCTGCTGAAACTTGTGAAGGAGGAAAGGGGGAATGTGTGGGGTTTTGAAGGGAATTCTTGTGCTTGAAGTAAAGTAATAACGTATAATAGGAATTTGTGTAAAAATTGCAGAAGATGTGGTAGGCAGTCAGGTGGGTTTCTGCTGCTCAGCGTTCCACAGGTGCTGTAAAGCCGTGATCTGCCAAGTGTGGTCCTCCGGATCAGTTTGCTATTCCAGTTTACCACATGGCAGCCCAAACACTCGGATGAACACAACTAGCATCTGGGCTGCTTGGGGCAGGAACACAAATGAGTAGATAGAGGCAGTGGTCAAGTGCTGCTGCCCTTTCTGGCTGCCCAGGCCCTCCTCTTGCATATCAAGTCATGGTCTAATATTGTAAGTGGGATTTCTGGCAAAAAAAGTGGCTATGCTAACACAGTCATTTCATCTACCAGCAGAGCCAGCTGTGATCACTGCATAAGTAAATGACTGTAGTTCGTTAGCGATTATGGTGGCATGCTGGACTGCCGTATTTGTTCAAGTGTGTAGTAACAAATGCAATGGTTTCTGATCAATAGAATCTGTATGAGCTTTAACATCAGGACAACTGCTGGGGCCTAAAAGTAGCCTGTAACACTCCCAAGTATATTTGCCAGTGTATCATCCACAGCTGCCCCACAGTCCAGCCTTGTTCCCTCACCGCGGTCTATAGATCAAGTCTTCTGGAAATGGGAGTCTTATCAGTGCAGCCCGCACTAGCGCTGCTAATACTGACACTCTCCTATGCAGCTCTGTGTGCATTTACTGGGAACTGGGCTTTATCTTTAACAGATATGCTATTGTATCCATATTAAAATGTACAGAGAACTATTCTGAGCTTTATAGCTGATCACCTTCATATGTTTGGGCTGCCTTGGTGTGGAACAATACTGACATTCAGTGGTTGATTATACTTGCCACTGTTGTGTGACTATCCAGGAGATTTTGGAGGGGTTTAATGTTCAGCACTGGCTAAACTCGGAACACATTTGGTTAAACTGGATTAAAGCAATTGTGTTAAGGTCCCTTTATAAGAATGCTGTGCTCGCAGTATAAAAGTTGTCTGTCTTTTTTTAACAAAGATAGAGATGAATTTGATCCATGAAAGGTATAGTGGAAACTTGCAGTAGTACTAGTTTGTAGATTTGTTTCCTTTCCTACTCCTAAGCAAACTGACAGTTACAGTTTCCAAGTTAAACTCCTTTTATGCACCGTGTTGGCTTGATAGGATTTCTCCATCCATGTATTGACTGTTGCTCTTTGTACATCTACCAGCAAAGACTGTGCTCTTTACAGGAGGTATTTAAGAGATGGCAAGGACCCCCTGAAGGTGAGCATGTTTGTGTCCTGCACGTGAAGGAGCAGGTAGAGAGTAAAACTGGAAAAGCTGTATCTTGGCTCCCTCCCACCTCTGCAGTCTTACATGGAGGAAAATAGCATGCTGGCTGTCTTCCTTATTACTTATTTTTCATCTTCTCAGGTGAGCTTTGGAAGACCTGTTTTGGTACTGTCAATCTCTCTAGGCCCAAACCGTTTTTCAGTGTTGCAAGTGAGTTGGAAGGTCAACCTAGTACTCTGGACAGTTGAGCTCTAGACACAGCAGCAAGAGTCCGCTCTGGAGCTATGGGCTTTTCCCAGTGCTATGGCATGCAGTGTTCAGACTCCTTAAAAATCTCTGTGGGACTGGGCCATTTACATGTAGACGTTTCTGTGCTGTCTTCATGTTTCTGTGCCAGAGTTACATTAGCTAAGGAGCAAAGCTTATCTCCATTTTGTGGCATGATCCTGGCCACGCTTCCTGAGATGAATGAAAACTATGTTAGGTTTTTGGTAGATGTGTTTGGCTTCTCCTAGGCAGGAATTGGTGGTGGCCTTCCTGTCCCTGGTGCCAAAGGTGCTGACACGCAGTAACTGTTCTGTCTCTTTCCAGTCACAACTGAATTCCTCCAAAGGCTAGATGAACTTTCAGTAACTAGCATACGCTTAGTTCACGCTCTGGCAATGCAGTGACCTGGATCAGGAGGCTGATCTGACCAAAAACTCTTTTTTTCTGGGTCAGTTTATGGCTGAACCAGTTTCCTAATATGGTTGACTACAGAGCCACAGACATACTAATATCAACACCTGGAAGGCAACAAGAAGGAAAAGCCACTGGTAGGGACAGCTTCTTCGACTACAGAATGAGTCTGTGCAGGATATAAGTAACAGGTTAACTGCAGCTTAAGGAGCCTGTGCTTGGTTATACTGTGTTCATTTTGTTTTCTAAGCCTGAATTTAAACTCAGACCTTAATTTGTGTCACAGGACAGTTATACTGCAGGTCAGGCAAAGCATTATACCTGCCTCAGGTAAAGGTCAAAGAGCTAAACTGAAGTCTGGTAGCATTTATCTCTTCTATAGAGGTGGAGAAAATAATTTATTTGCTTCTCAGTTCAGCTACTATTTCATTGAAAGCTGAGAAATAGACTAGGAATTAGTTTAAAAAAAAAAAAGGCAGATAAGCTTCTTTTCCCATGAATAAAATGAAGTATCAGAGGCTGAGACCTGTTATTTATTAATCCTGAAAGATACGAGACTAAAAGGGTTACAGTCTTTGTTTGGAGCTAATACCTTCCTCGTTCATGAGAGAGTTAGTTTTAGATGTAAGACATGTTTTACAAGCTTTTTTCATGTGTATCAAATAAGTTTGAGGTAATTTTATTTAATTAAAACAGATTTAAACATCTGGATTTGTGTCCTTCTAATGAATTCCAAGGGCCTTTATGCAAGGGCCGCTTGGCATAGGTCGTAACTAAAAGACTAATCAGCGAGCAAATAAGAAACACTGTTTTCTAGTTCAGTAGCTGGAAGGTGACAAACTGAAAATATTTATCTTCAAGATACATCAGTGCTCAGTTATGTGTGTAAATGTTATGCAAACTGCTCTGTTGCAAGAAAAGTAGGAAACTTCATGTATAAGGTGTCCTTGCATGTTATCAAACAACATGTATAAGTGAGCGTCAGCCCTTCTCAAATGCCAAATAGGGATAAAAGTAGAAATCAAGGGTGCTAGCTGTTTGCCTAAATTGTGATATATGTTAGTGACTTAAGCCACTTTGAGTAATTTTGTGGTGGAACATTCCTCTAAGTAAAGAAAATGCCATTTAAAAATCAGCAGTAAAGCAGTATCTTTTTCTTAAGTTCATTCACAATGCACGTTAATTAAAAATAACCATTATAAGAAAGAGGACCTGGGAGAAGAAATAATGTCAATCCTCACATCCCTTTGTTTGTTTTAACTCGTTCAAATGTGTTTCCAACAGAAAATGATCCACAGTCTGTTTCTTATAAACTGTACTGGTGATATATTCTTGGAGAAGCACTGGAAGAGCGTTGTGAGCCAATCTGTGTGTGATTATTTCTTTGAAGCTCAGGAGAAAGCAGTCGACGTTGAGAATGTGCCTCCTGTCATCTCAACACCACATCACTACCTCATCAGCATCTATCGGGATAAAATCTTCTTTGTGTCTGTCATACAGACAGAAGTGCCACCACTCTTTGTAATTGAATTTCTGCACCGAGTAGCAGATACTTTCCAGGTGTGTCACCATTAAGTAATTTTAAGACTGAAATAATTCCAAGGGAATTTTTATGTAAACTTTATTTAAAGAAAGGTAATAAACCCTCCTGTCGTGACTTTCCCCTTGGCAATTTTTAAGTGAAGTGCTGGTTTATAAAGTACAAAGGAAAAGAAGGTTTTCCTTGTGTATTCATTTGATTTACAGATACCAGTGCACATGCACTAAAACCCAAACGCCAATTTATAAAAGCTGCCTTGTTTCTCTAAGCTTTTGTACTGTTCCTGTTATATTTATGAACTGAACTAGCATGCAGTCATGGAGCAGTCTGTAGGGAGGGGAGAGATGCTAAGTGTGAGTCAGTTTTCAACCTGTTTGGCAGATACGGTTAGTAAAAGAACCTCAATGAGGACTAGGCATTGCCAAAAGGTATTTTCCATGTTTCACAGCACTCTTCTGACAGAAGATGTATTAATGTTCACAAGTGCGAGAACCCCTGGGACACAAATCCATAGTAAACCAGATTGCGTTAATTCCATTGTTCACACTGTCTTTATTTCTAATTACATGGTAGATGCAACCTTAATGTGTAGTGCAATCAGGCTATAGAAGTAGCTAGTCATTTTAGGTACTAAAATTCCTTGATATGTTTGAGGGTTTCTGTAAGCATTTAAAAAAAAAAAAATTGTAAAGCATTTTAACAAGAATAAAAATCCTCCCCTTTGTAATCTGTGATTTGTTTAGGATTACTTTGGCGAATGTTCTGAGACTGCAATTAAGGACAATGTAGTTATTGTGTATGAGCTTCTAGAAGAAATGTTAGACAATGGCTTTCCGCTGGCAACAGAATCTAACATACTGAAGGAGCTGATTAAGCCTCCCACAATACTGCGCTCCGTTGTCAACTCCATCACAGGTATGAACATAAATAATATTCAGAGGTGACTGGCTGCTTAAAAATCAAGCCCCATCAAGCTTTTTAAATTAAAAAAAATAATACCATATTGACCTGAACCTATAAGGTGGAGCCA